ATGCCCAGAATTGCAATATATCTGCCCCTTCTGAAGTTTACAATGGCACATTACCACAAAAGGTGGGCACTCTCTTTCCGCTCTTACAACAATTTGCTCCTATAAACTTAGGAAGGGGCAGAGCCACAGCCATAAACACAGGTCACAAGTAGTAGGTAGTCAAATGCTATCTTCAAATGCTTCCCAGCTCTTTACTCATAAAAAAAGCTTATTCTTTTTTTTCTCTCCTTGGTTAAATAAGGAATTCATCTAGCTTAGGGAGATGAGTATGAAATTAAATGGAACAGCACCATCATATAAACTGCTTAAAGGATTCTCAAATATTTCACTTTTCACGCCACAAGGTATCCTCATTTTTTACGTCAAAACCTTTCCACCACATGCCCAAAAAATGAAAGTAGGGGAAGGTTTAGGGATATATGTTTAGTAGAAACCATTTAGCATAAAAATCACTTCTATTATTATTTCCAAGGTGGCCAAGGCTTACTTGGACAACATAAAGACAAAATAAGCAAAAATGCCTTACTCATAAAAAGCAAAGAATATATATATGCACACTCCAAATCTTGGATGGTTTCTAAAATTTTTTTTTTAAGTTATCCGGCTTTAAGAACCATCACCTCTGTTATCTTTTTTAAAATGAGATGCTATCACTATAGTAAAGGCATTTCTATACTTCGAGTAACCAAAGCCCAAACTAGTTAGAGCCTTGGAACACTTACCACTAAATTACACCAACCCATTCTAACATAAGATAAACAGCAGTGGTTTCTTTCAACTATTTCCCTAAGACAAAAGGATCACAAATATTAAGACCCCAACCCAGGGAAGGGTGAACTTTTTCTTTCAAAATCATCAACATCAGCCATTTTCAAAATTTCCAGGTTTTTGGTTCCTGAAATTAACTACCGCTTCAAATCCTAAGATATCATGTAGTAATCTTCAGACATCAATAATGTTCTTAAAATTCTTAGGGGTGCTTGATTTGCTCACTCCAAGCTACAAAACATCTCCTGGCAATGCCAGACCTATATTCACAACCACAGCCTCACAGCTTGTAACACTGATGGCTGGCAGAGCTCACTTTGTTCATATCTTGTGTATCCTAAAAACCAGGAATATGACTATGAGGAGACAATGAAACTCCCAGAGAGGTGAACTAAAAGAGAAAATGACCTCAGATTTCCATTCACAGCTGGAACCAGAACAGAGCTGGCATAAAGGGGAAAAGGGGAGCGGACAGGATAACCTGGCAAAAAAAAAAAGACTAGAGGCAACTAATAAATAGCAGAGGATCCCTTGCATCCTCCAGTGTTCCAGTTACTAAAGTTACAATAATCATTTCTATTAACCCAAAGAGAGGGACAATAAAATATTCAAGTGAAATTTTCCTCCTCCTCCCTCTGCCCCCACCCCACCAAGAGCACAAACTAAAATTGGGATTTGGATTTTCCTTAAATGGAACAAGGGGCTACATCATTTTCATTCAAAAGACTTGGTATTTACTCAGCCTTTTCAAGGCACTTCACTATCATCAATTATTTCTTGGTGAGGCAGCGCAGGATTACCCTGACCATTTCACTGATGCGGAAGCAGACACCAACAGCAAAGGGAACGGGGGCAGGAAGAGGGGAGATAGGAAGCATCTGGGGGGAACAGGCAGGCAGCTAAAAAGGAACAAACCCAAAAGAAAATGAGAGTCACATCTGGCTTATAGCTGGCCACCATAACCCTTATTACTTTTTAGCTCAGAGATTTTTGAAAGATTTTGAAAAAAGAAAGTGCTCTAAATGATGAGTCAGTTAATATTTAGTTACAAACTAAACTACTTACTTGGTCATAGAAGCAAAGTTGTTTAGCATTAAAAAAAAAAAACCCTCAATCTCCAGAGCACATAGAGATTTCAATTTATACCAATAATTCATTTTTCTTCCCAAGCCTAATCCATATGTTTATCTCTCTGACCTAGAAAATAATCTCATAAAAATGTATAGCTTTCAACCCAAGTAAGAAATAATTCACAGTCACACCCAGAATTTTATTTAGAAAATTATAAACAAAATACCGATTCCCTGAATTTGCCCTTGAAATAAAATAACTACTTGTTTTACATTCATATTGATTTTCTTAGCTATAACTTGGAAATTTTCAGGAATAAATTACTGATGGGCAGCCTTAAACATCCAGAAGCCAACATTCACAGCCTCTGAATAAATGCACCTTGAACTCCATACTACAGACAGCACAGGCACTTCAAAAAGATGTATTGATTGAAACAAAAAGACTGACCAGCTGCCTCATGAGAAAAACTGATACCACCTCTTTAAGACTGACTCCAATGATTTTTGTAAATATCATGACATCATTAGCTTTAAAGCAACCTCACACATAATGTAGTTCAGTCACATTAATCTTTTTTTTCCAAACAATTTCAAAACAAATCAGGTTCTCTAAAGGAAACAGGTACACACCCTTAAGCTTATAAGGTTGTGTGATATATATGCTATTCATTCAAACGTTTCAAAGCTGTTTTAAATGTGTTTAAGTTTTTGAAAAGATCTTTCAGACTGTTTTGAAGACTATGGATAAAACTATAGCCAAACAAATACAAAGCATCAGGTGAGTGCTCATAAATTCACTCCTTTCTCAAAGTCCCAACTGGACTTTTTTCCAAAAGCTTATTTTCACCTTCCTCCCATTAAATATACAAAACCAAAGACTGGAAAAAAAATTCATCCCTGGAAATACGTTATTTAATGAGTACTTAAGAAAAAGAATGGCAAGAAAGGCAAAACATTCCCAAGCACTATTTTTGAAAAGAATCAAATGAATCTATGAACTATTGTTATAATGCAATTGCTTGTCATAGGAAGTTGTACTCCATAAATGATATACATCTTATAATACTATTTCCCCAAAACAGAAACATGAATAGCTCTGGGAGCCTTAAAAATGCAGCAGCATCCGCAGTTGTTTTGGTAAAGAAAACTATCCCTGATAATTTTATAAATCATATGATCAAAGTATCCGCTTTCCCTGCCTTACCTTCCCCCTACTAACAGATCCACTCACTTTCCAGAGATATCCTAAAGTCACCTTAACACATAATTCATAAAAGCTAATCTAAATCTTCAAGATAAAAGCTAATTTCAAATTATAATCACACTTTGTAATGAATGACAAATGTTTTACAACCCTTAAAAACATCAATAGTCTTAAACGGGGATTTGTAACTACCGGTGCTGGCCAAACGTTTGGGGGCCGGAGAAGGGGGCAAATTACAGACCTCAAAGCTATGTATAACATCAAGGCGCAAAATCTATTAAATTCGCCTGCTCGCTCTCTGGCGATTTGGCGATTTACACCAGGATGCAGCACAACCACTAGTCAGGTGGAAAAAGGAAGACCGCTGTCCCTTAAAGGCACCAATGGTCCCTAGACCAGGTCACGCCGCGAGAGCACAGCGGCCGCCCTGCAGCTCCTCGGGAGAGTTGGAGCCCCCCTCTCCGCTCTCCCGTCAACACACACACGCAAGGGAGGGCCGCGCCCTCCCGCCCCACCTCTCCCCGGCGGCCAAGCCACCGGTGCCCCCCTCCCCAACCGCCCAGAGCCCCGGGGCGCGTGTCCGATGGGCACCTGGCACCGGGACCGAGCCCGCGCTCCGCCACAGGCGCATCCTTCCGGGCTAACGTTTCCCTCCCAAACTCCAAAAGTTATCTCACAACTCCCCGGAAGGCAACCGGGCGGGCTTCAGCCCAGACCACTCAAAGTCATCGCTGCTCCTCAGCCCCACCGCCCGCCGGCGCGCCCCGGGGCCCCAGCTCGGCCCCCCAGCCCAGCTCCACCCACAGCAAGAGGATGCTCAGGAGGGTGCTGTCCGTACTTTGGGCCAGGGGGCGGCTAGAGAGCGACACGGCAACCAAACGCCGCGCAAGGGATGGGCCCGTGACCAGCGACGGGGCCCCGGGGGAATGCGAGGGGCTGCGCAAAAGCAGCTGTGGGGCGTCGTGGAGGGCGCTAGGTGGGGCAGGGGAGCCCTGGCCTCTGGGGTGAGGCTGCCAAAGGTGGGCGACGGGGGTGCGGGGCCGAGCTAAGGCCGGACCCCGCGGAGCGGTAAGGGGGCGTTACTCGCGCGGGACGCGCCGCGGAGGGCTCCCGGCCACCCGCCCGCCCTCGGACAACGACCAGAGACCGGATGCCACGGCTCCGCCTCTCTGGTCCTCACGGGGCCCAGAGTCGCCACGCACCTCGGGTCTCGTCGGCGAAAGGAGCGAAATTGTCACACTGGTCCCGCGAACCGGTACCGGTCTTCACACCGCCGCCGCCATGTTTGAGAAGCCGCGCGCGGAGACGCGCATGCCCCGCAACCGCCACCACCGCCCCGCCCCCGCCCCGGCTGGCCCGCGTGCCCTGCGGTTGCCGCAAGCACGCCCTATGACCGCTGCCGCGTGCGGGGCCCGAGCTGGGGGCGCCGCCGGAAGGCAGTGTGAGCGGCGGCGGGCGACGAGACGCTACAAGCCCAGGAAAGCCCTTGGTAGTTTTCCTCCATCCTCCCCCCCACCATCTACCCTCCCGCCAAAAAGAAGCCAGTCGCAGCCCAAGCACCCAAGACTGTGATGGGCCCCCAACTGAGACCCCGGGGTCCGCGTCAAGTTCCATTGCGGGAACTCGCTCTCCTTGGCCATCGCCTTTGACTCTTCGGTCACGCCACCGAAAAGGCAGGCGCTTCTCTAGGAACTGAAGCAAGTTCGATGAGCAAGAAAAATGCAACTCTTTAGAGCAGCTTGAGCAAAGCCACTCCTTCGCGGGTTGCAGCATATTCCTTGAAATGTTTTTTTTTTTTTTTTTTCCATGTGTTTTTGCCACGCATTCCCCTCCAGCTCCACATTCTGAACTTAGTTGTTGCTCTAAACCCAGGCTTGAGCTAACGGGACTAGATTAACCCGGAGAAGAAAATAATTTGCCCACTGGTTTGACAGTGCTTGGGAGCGTCCTCGAGAATGCATTTTGGGGTCTCCTCTGCTGTATCTTCCTCGCCTGGGGGCAAGCTGTTGTGCAGGTGGAGGTCGCACCGAGGGGAAGGGGGCGGTCGTAAAAATAACCCTGAAACAGCCCACGACTCTCCCCGCACAAAATGTAGCAAACAGAAAACCCGAGAAAAACATCCCATCCCTCGTTGTGAGGTTGGGTATAAGCAGATTTAAAACTTTTGTTTGAAAAATAATACAATGTGCTGTGTTAGCGAAAAGTAACTCATTGGCAGGCCTTCTCTCTCCAACTCTGAATAGCTGGATGTAAGTTTTTCACTTGTGATCGCCTTAACTTAGTATATAGGGCATACTGTATTTTTAAAATCATAATTAGGAAATTGAAGCCTAAAACTAAAAAAACAAACAAAAAAAACGCGGAATATATCCATTTTCCACAATACAGAAATTATTTTCATAGAGGACCTTTGCAATATTAAACGAAGGCCAAATTAAAGTTGTTTTTATTGTATCTAGGTATTGAGGAATGGCACTAAATCAAACTGCTGAAATAAAAGTTAGTGCAAATTTCATAAAAACTTTACAGCGAAACAGAAAACCTAGGCCACTGTTATGCAAATATTAAAGAGAGATTTGGCCATATCGATTGTATAATATATACCATGTAGAAGGGAATGTTGAAATGGTCCAAGATGAAGGTTCAAAAATGTTTTTAAAAGCCAGAAAGGTACCTTTAAGAGAAAAAAAATTAAACAGGTTAAATCTAAGCAGACCCTTAGTATGGGCTACAGCAGGGCTTGGAGGGATGAGGGGCCTGAAATTTTTACTTACTGGCCATTGTCTTTCTAATCTTGATGCAATGGAAATATTTGAAATTCATCTCTACATTCTGTATTAGAAAGACTTGGGTTGTCACTTAATGAATCTTTTACATCTATGGACTCTTTATCAAGTTGTAGAAATACTACTCTGATTGTTAAATTGCCTGACAGGCACCTCATCTACTTCCCATATTCCTGTTTTTAATATGAAATTACTGAAGCCCTTTCTCTAAAAACGTACATCGCATTATCTATATTAGAACATCTTATCAGTAACTACGTTCATCAAAGCATTTATAAAAGTGTGACTCTGTTACATTAAATATGAGTTATTGATAATGATGACAGCTACCATATGCTGAGAATCCTGCTAGTCTCTTTAAATACATAATTGTCAATTTTCATCATATTCTTTCACAAAGTACTTATGAGGTAGGTGCCCTTATTCCCAATTTATAGATGAGGAAATTGAGTATTAAATAGCAAATAAGTGGCAGAATCAGCTTCTGAACATACATATACCTAAGCCTTTCCTATCCCTTTTACCCTGTCCTGAATCATATATTTTCATCATAGACTTTGTGTATAAGCATTTAATAATAATTCTTTTATGTACTTATACTCTGCTTTTCCTTTTCCCGCTTTGCCAAAATAAACTTGAGACTGCTTTTTAATGCTGTTAGCATAGGTCAGAATATCACTGTTTCTTTTACATCATATGGAAGCACCTTGAACATAGTAGGAATTTGGTAAATATTTGTTAAATGACTGAATGGATGAACGAATACCTACTATTATGACATTCAATTAATTTTGCCTGGAAAACATGAAAAGGAAACTGCCTCAACTGAAAGAATAAGAACTAAGGCTGGTAAAATCCAAATTTTCATGATTATTTTTCAAGTCTCAGATTTGTTTCTGTCCGTTTGCTCCTATAGTTCTGACTCAGCCCAAAAACTGTGACAACCTTAAAAAAGATACGTCATCCTCACCCCTGCCCAAATCCAATGCAAAATACTTCTGTCGCAAGTGTGTTTGATTACTTCCTTTTGTACCTTTCTTCAGAATTTAATATTAGTCCATCAGAATAAAAAGATGGTCTTCTTTCCTAGATAAGCAAAATTTAATCTAGATTTCCATCAGCACACATGTCTGTATTGAAATGATATTACTTGCATAGATAAAGTTAATGTTTCAGGATGATTAGTGAAGACTCCCTCTACTTTTCCCACTTCATGCACTCCTTTCTCCCTAAAACACAGAAGCCTAACTAAACCTGGCAGAGGCTAGAGATCCGAGGTATTCCTGGTAAACTCACCAGTCGTATTTTCACCTTAGTGGAAAAAATCCATATAGTAGGTACTAAATAACAAATTGATATAGTAACTAAGTTGACAAACATCTTCAGATCCTTGTTTCTAACAAATCGCCCTTTTTCCCCTATTAAACCAAGAACACATATCAGTAAGATATAAACTGTTTCTAGTATTGCTGTTGATGGTTACATTAAACCTCTTTTCCTAACTGCAAAATAGTAACTTCCTTGGAAAAATATCAAGAGAGACTCTAGTCTAACAAGAAGACTGTCTTGTCAAAGGACAAAGCTGTATCAGGAGGTCTGAACTCTTGTCTTGAACTCCAACTCTATCATCCACTACTTAGATTTCTTTAGAATCTTTCCATGCCTCAGCTTTTTTTCATTTTAAAACTAAGGTAAATAGAATAGGTCACACTTACTTCACAAATGAGAAAGTGCTATTCAAATCTATCAGAAAACAAAACCATGGCCTTTCCTTAATGGATTCCACATTTTTTTAAAAGATTTTATTTATTTATTTATTTATAATTTTTTTTTTTTTTATTCATGAGAGACAGAGGGAGAGAGAGAGGGAGAGAGAGAGAGAGAGAGAAGCAGGCTCCCAAGGAGCAGGGAGCCTGATGTGGGACTCGAACCCAGGACCCCGGGATCATGACCTGAGCCAAAGGCAGACGCTTAACCATCTGAGCCACCCAGGCGCCCTATTTATTTATTTGTCAGAGAGAGAGAGAGCCAGCACAAGCAGGCGGAGCTGCAGGCAGAGGGAGAAGCAGACTCCCTGCTGAGCAGGGAGCCTAATGCAGGACTCAATCCCAGGGCCCTGGGATCATGACCTGAGCTGAAGGCAGACGCCCAACCGACTGAGGTGTCCAGGCATCCCCATCCCACATTTAAAAAAAAAAACAAAACACATTGGTCTTTTACCAACAAAATGTATGAAATTGAAGCTGACTTTGGCCAAGTCAAGTATTTTATATGCTGTGAAAACTGGCATAAACTCAATGAACATTATAAACTACACTTGGCCATTATTACATTCACTCATTCCTTCATTCAAACACCAAACATTTTTTGAATGCTTGTTGTATGTGGCTCTGCTAAAGGTGAGGATACCAAAATGTCTAAGACAAATTCAACACTCCAGGATCTTACACCCAGTCCAAAGAGGAGAGAGAGAGAGTGCTCACAGAGATTTTAAGATGTTCAAAAGAAGTAGGGTCTCTTATCACACCTTTCATCATATCAAACATTTTTATTTTTTTAAAGATTTATTTATTTGAGAGAGAGAGAGAGTGAGGCAGAGGGGCATAGAGGGAGAGAAGCAGACTCCCCGCTGAGCCTGATCCCACCACCCTGAGATCACGACCTGAGCCTAAACCAAGAGCTGGACACTTAACAGACTGAGCTGCCCCGGTTCCCCTCACAGCAAACATTTTTTTAGATGTCCCCATATAATATTGTGTAACTAGATGAATGAAACTGTAGCTGGTCAGCTGACAGAAAGTCCTTTGCACATTTAATTAAAACATTTACTAATTTTGATTTTACACCTTCTGTGCTGGTTATTCTGCACTTGAGCCATCCTCCACCCCATGAATTTTTACTCTTCTTTGCCTTATTCTGTGCCCCAGGGGACTTAACCTTCAGTAGTGTATCACTCTCTACAGCTGGTTTGGCCAATGGCAGGTACCATCAGGAGTAATGGAAGTCCCGTATATGGCACGGGGTTAGGGGAGGGCGCAGTTCTTTCCCAAGCACTTCCTGCCTAGGATCTCCGTCTGCCGGTAGCAGTGGCTCCATGACAGCTCTGGGCAAAGGCTTCCCTTTCCAGGGTTGTCCTCACTGGGTCTTCAGGAAGTGGGAGGAACAGGTACAGCTTCCAGCTTCCAGTTTTCCCTAATCCCTGGGCAACTTCAGCATCCCTTGTTAGTTCCCTTAAACCTCCCCACACCTCTGTAAATAATTCATTCAATTCTCTTCAAAATCACATGTGACTGTACTTTCTGTTCCTGCTGGGACCATTATTGAAATGCTTCTCTTTTCGTATATCAAGCCGACCAATTAAGAGGATAGGGTAGGGTCTTCAAACATTTCTGTAAGCCCTTTGAGAATTTATATTCAAGGCACTGTGTAGGGCGCCTGGGTGGCTCAGTCGGTTAAGCCTCTGCCTTCGGCTCAGGTCATGATCCCAGGGTCCTGGGATCCAGTCCTGTGTTGGGCTCACTGCTCAACGGGGAGTCTGCTTCTCCCTCTCCCTCTGCCCCTCCCCCAGCTCATGCTCTCTTGCATGTGCATGCAATCTCTCTAATAAATAAAATCTTAAAAAAATTTTTTTGAAATAAAAAAAAACAAGTATGGTATTGTCCTGGGCTTTTTTTTTTTTCCAACTGAACTTTAACCTACGTGCAATAAAGTGCACAAATCATAAATGTACAACTCAATTAAGTTTTACACAGGTATGCACCTATGTACTCAGAGACATAAAGGTATAATTTTCAGCACCCCAGAAAATCTTACAAATCCTCCCAGTCAAGAACACCCCCCACCACCAAGTAACTACTATTCTGGCTTCTAGCATTATAGATTAGTTTTGCCTGTTCTTGGATATCTTATCAATGGACTTAAACAGTACATCCTCTTTTGCGTCTAGCTTCTTTCACTTCATGGCATGTCTCCAAGATTCACCCCTGTTGTTGAAGCATCACCCTCATACTTACCAAGTCTTGCAGACAATTTCGCTGTCCCCTCTTTTCCACAGGCTGTTCTTCCTGATTAAAGCTGCTGTAATTTCTCTTACAATTATTGTCTCCTTTCTTATGATGAGTTCTCTTTAAGGCAGTAGTTGGGCCTCCAATTATATTAAACCTTATTATTTTGATAGGGAAAGCTTTGCTTTCTTCGAAGTCAAGGGCAGGTTTCACCTCATACATGTGCCAGGCATTGTGTAGGTAAACTACTGACCCTTCTTTTTTGGGTCCGCTCTCTAAATACAGATTTGTAAACCAACACGGTAGTTGGGAAGACAAATATTTAGAGACCCTTTGCATTCCATGTTTTCCAT